CTGGGAAAGCAGTTAAACAGTTCAAAGAAAAAATAAACTATCCGGATGTTTCCAGAAGGTTCCAGAAAGTAAACAAAAGAGTATTTAAAGGAAGAGACGATCGCCGAGATAAGGAGAAATAAATTGACCATTGAAGAAGTGAATCCAGAAATAAATTGACAGTGATAGCAGTGAAATAAATAGCGCAGTGAATAGTGATATATCAACAGTAGTGTAAATAAATAGAATAATTCATAACCTAAGTTTAGTAATAATTTAATAGTGTTTTTCATTTCTTTAATAATTAGTGTAAATAAATAGTTTTTGTCGTTATCAATCTTAGAAGTTAATTTTGTTAAACCCACGAACATTACAATACCTATAAATATAATGAAAATCAAAACATACCATTATTTTTTTACAAGGAGCTTCCCCAAAATTTGTAATTCTTTCTGCAATAAGACACCACTGATCTCTTGTTAAGTAGGGATGGATGGAAGTTATGTTATACCCAGTATTATCACTGTCAAGAGTTAGATTGAAGTGCATGTTTCTTCTATTTAAATGACATTTCATTAGTATTGATAAATCTGCCCAGTTATAACAGATATTTAAGTAGGCATACATTAATCTTGGATTCTAAAAATAAAAAGAATTCAATCGAAACATGAGACATGGAATCCTACAACACTTTCAATATTAAGAATGTGGCAGTGTGCTACCAGACATTAGCTGCTAACTGTTAAAATTTATAATGCTCGACAATATTGACAAAAAGATTCAATGATTTTTATACTTTAAGTATTACTTTCAAGAAAAATATAAGCAACTGATTCTATTTTAAAATTAAGAATGGCAATCAATTAAAAAATATCGCCACTAAATTCAGTTATTTGCAGTGAAGTTATCATTACAAATAAACAGGATGTTGAAAATTCAGCCATTTACTTGCCAATTAAAACCTGCTGATATTGATTTGAGCTTGTAGAAGCTGAATTAGTTTTTCATTCGAAGAAGTTAGCACAATGACAGTACTTGTTGATAATTTTCCAAAAAAAATTGAATAATTAATTTAAAACTATTAAATAACTTCCCAATATTTTCTAAAATATAAGTACACATACATGCTCCCTCTTAACAAGAGAAATTCCAAAACTCTTAATAATATCTTGTAATTCTTTCATTCCACAAATGAAGTTATCTACAATGGTTTCGGAAATCGTATGCTCGGCTATTCTAGTGGTACTCAGTAAAAGACAAGTAAGCATGCTGATAATCTCAACGTAGAGCACATATCTAAAATCTATGAAGAAAAAATCAATTAGTAATTTGTTGACATCATAAATATTGTTATTACCATCTGCTAATGTTTGTAAATCGTCATGAACTTCATTAAGATGGAAAATAAGGGTTTTAAAAATGTTCATAACTTGCCAACTAGCCAATGCTGCCAAAGAATTTGTAAAATTATCTTGCACAAGTTTTGGAAACATTGAATCAATGTTTAGTGTTTCAATATTATAAATATCATGTGTGTCATTATGGTTACACAAATGAGCCTTCATTAGTTTTACCATTTTTGAAACAAAACTTTGCAGTCTGTGTAATTTTGCAAATATATCCATAAAGATATTTAATAATTGTGGATATTTCTCATTGTGTTTTGTTGTAAGTAGGAAATAAGGCAATAAAATATCTAGCTTCCTCTCAATTGAAAGAGGGGCAATTGATGAAAGATGCAAGAAAATATCATATACATCTTCAGTTGGATGTCTCACTGCTGCTACTAATGAAACTATAAAGTCTTCTAGAAAACTCTCAAATGTTACTTCTTTAACTTTACAATTTAAATCAATATTATTTGAAGTTAAAATCCTAAATATACTAGCAATAATATCCAGAGCTTCTGTGCAATTTAAATTCAAATTTTGTGAATCATTCAGTTTGACTTCCAATAATATTTTTTGTGAAAATCCCAGCATATCAAGAATTAAAATGATAAATTTGTAAATGCTTCCAAAATCATTTTGGTAGCAATAGTTATAAGATTCAAATATTATTTCAAACATGATTTGTGTGTCTATTCTATTCGTAGACACAGCAGTCTTTAATTGATTAAGTAACAATTTTGGAAAAAATATTTCTTCTGAACATTTTTTGTCTTCAAATAACTTGGAGTAGTATAAATCAAAAGCCTTTTTACTATGTTGAAAAATGCCCTAAAAATATAATTCCTAAATATTATATATTTGTATCTAACTTTAATTGTTTAATTATACCTTTTCGATGAATGTTGAAATACTTCTGCAAACATTTTGATTACCACAAAATTTTTTTCTAACTTTTGTTAAAATACTTATTCCACTATTGACAAAATATAATATGAAAGTATTGTTGGTAACAACATTTTTGTTGTATAAAATATCTTTATCCAAAAATTTTGCTAAAGATAGTGGATTATCTATCTCATTTATAACTGTAAACAGAAAACAGCAATAATCACTTATGTTTGACTTGATAAAACTTTGAGGGACATTGTTTTCTAGAATTAACAAAGAAATACTTATCAATGTTTCTTTGAGATGGCTGTTAACTTTCTGTATATTAATTAAAATAGCCTAAAAAAATACTAATCAATAATAATTCATTTATACTATGATAGACACCTACTTGTATAAGAAGATTCAAAGTTATAGAATTAGCATTAAACACACAGTTCAACTTTTCTGATGTTAACCAAGAAAGTAATATTTCCCATGATTCAGGGCTTTCGTGATTTATTTCATTTAAAAGCCATCTGATAATAATAGATTCTTCGTCCTCTAACAATTTTTCCGGGATTCTTATAATGGTGTCGGCTAGTTTGAGGCGATTACCAAAGGATTCATTTTTATTTTCCAATATACTTAATAGTTCTGTAAGTATAAAAATATAACCATTATCATACATACAAAATATATAATCACTACCGTACCGTTTCTTAACTTCATATTCTATTATTTGTTAATGTTTATATTTAAAATTGTTGTAATAATTTATATAAATAACGAGTAGGTTAAGTTCTGTTCGCAGATTATAATAATTAGGTTAAGCAAACATTTCCTATCTATGTTATTTCATAAGTACTACCTTCAACCATAGAAGTATTGGTCGTTGGCGCCATAGATATATATTAATGGACGTGTCTTAGG